GGTCGTCTCTCTTTATACCGCTCCTCCTTTACTCGCGTCTCACGCTCGCCTCGCAGATGGCTACTTTTTCATCCTCCGCGTTATTAACTCCCACACTTACCTCGTTGCGCCTTATACGAGGAGAATAGGAAATACCACGTTCCACCTTCGCTGACCGTCCCGGATATATTCGCGTCGTCGAGTTGATGCGGATAAATACGAAAGAAACGATCGATCGCCCGTTGCGAAAGCGTCTCTTTAAATTCCCGCAAAAGTATTACGTGATCTTTACATATGTAAATTAGTTTAAATAAGCTAACAATTATTAATTATATTTCATGCATGTCCAAAATCCAAATTTAATGCCAGTTAATTGTAATTGGGTGCTGCTTATATGACTTTTCATAAACGAAGTGCACCGTTTCATATGAAGACCACACAATACATATTCTATCTTATTTTCTCTTTCTTATTTTCATATAAGGGGAAATTTTTTAAAACTAACGAAATAATTATCAAAAGTAATATCTCGATTTTTTCACCGGTTAAAATGTCATTTGACTTTTCATTGCTTCGTATTGCTGAGAAGTAAAATATTAAACTGTACGTTTGGTCCGCACTTTTCATCCGCAAACTTAGCTTTGTTAATCACTGCTGAAGAAGAGAAAACTGCTTGGGGAAAAAAATGCGCCCATATCTTTACTTCGACAAGGTAGACCTGCTCCGCGAAAGGAGAATGGCTGGTATAATCGTACGCAACCGGGCAAATTGCTCGGCATTCGAGACTGTATGTACTCCGGACGGAGGCGTTCGCGTCTTTAAGGTGTTCGAGGTGCTGATCCGTAGCCGGGACCAATAATTTAGACGGTTTCGGGGGATCCCGGCAATAATTTAACTCGCTGGGGAGGCCTGAACCAGCAGCTGCGCCACGACAGCAGGCACGGGGCGACGGAGTCGCGATAAACTCTCATAATTCACTTATGGGATATCCACGGCGTATCCGCGTCTCGGTCCCCGCTCGCTTCGCAGTCACGCCGCGCGTCGTTTAAACGCGCGCTTCGAGCTCCGAGGAACCTCTCCATTGAATGCGAACGCGTGTTTCGTAATGTTTGTACATACACACGCGCGCGCGCGGGCGCGCGATTATTCACAGGCGTGCATTGTGCACGCGGGGCCGCGCTTTACGGGATCCGCTGAAAACAGGAGAGGACAGCGTGATTCCTGAGGAAAAATGGCCTCCATTAAGTACGATAACAATTTACTATGATAAAAGGGAACAAGTATATAATACGAATTCTCGATATTTCGAGCGTCTCGATCGTCATGACTTCTTTGTACAGTGATGAATAGAATGGTTGCAACCATAGACATAGTAAATATAGACTGAGCGTCCCATTGAATAAGCAAAAGCTTGCGAAGAGGGAGACAGAGAAGATTTAAGAAGACTTTCTTTCTCTTCTTTCACCAGCGTGACAAGGGAGAATCACGCCTGTAGTACTATGCAGGCGCGATTCTTTTCTTTTACGATGGTGTAAGACAGAGACAGAAAGTCTTCTTAAATCTTCTCTCTTTCTCTTTTCACAAGCTTCAGCTTATTCAATGGGACGCTCAGTCTATATTTGCTATGTCTATGGTTGCAACATTGTTTTTTTAATGAGTTTAGGACCGTGCGTTTAGATTCAGGGTTACGTTCTAAAATCTTCTTCTCCGAGGAATTTTTTACTCGATGGCCACATTCCGAAACCATTTTGAGCGTCTCTGAACTATTTTTCGAACTAAATTTTCCTCGGAGAAAATCTGATGTCTTTCCATATGAAGTTAGGCACATATAGAATACATTTTCCATGTATGTATACGAAAATTGCATAAATGGGTTGATATGTGGGCAAATTTATATGGGAAGGCATCAGTGATGCCTAGTATAGACATTTTGTCTAGTGTACACAGTGCTTGTGTGTTTGACAAAAGTGCGTTTCAAGGCTTTAACTGGCGGATGCAACACAGCGCGAAAAAAGTGTTCAACTTAATTTGTTTTATGAGAATCGTGATACAAAAGCTCTGGCACGAGATTGCTTAGATATGCGGCGTGGATCGAATGTTCCGCCGGGCTGTTTCTCGAGCCAACCCTGGCAGGAACGAACGGCGGACGTAAATTTCGGTGCAACCTGCCGCGGGATAGGCGGATAATTAATTTTACATGAGGCAATGCCGCATACGGGATGCGCGTAAGCTTCGAAGACGTCGCGAGGAAGTTAAAAAGTCTACACACAGCGTAACCCGTCTGGGGATTAATGGGATAATTGTGAACGCACGATGGGGAATTCAGTCACTGTCTGTGGCCTACGCCGAAGCGCGCTTCGCGTCATTAGAATGCATGCGTGTATGGTGAGTAATAGCGTCTTACAGCCGTAAGAAATTATTAGGAGGAAATTCCCTGACGACTGCATCTTCCTAAATCTTACGCTGAAAAGAAAACTTTCGCTACCGTAGCTAATCATGGTTTGCAAAAAATATTTTGCTATCACAACTATAAATCTCTGAATCACAGTAAACGGTTTGCTGTCGCACTTAATGCAATAGGTAGTAGAATATTTAGCTATCGCAACTAAATACTAGCGGCCCATATTTTACAACTGAAATTTAGTTGCCACATGCAGTTTTTAGTTCCGGCAGCTGCATTTTTCTTTCCGTGTACAAGTGCTACATGAAGCATTAGTGATTTCTATATTATTTCTCTTTTCTGTACATTTTTACAATACTTTGTCACTGTATAAGTGCTCGAAAATGCATAAACTACACCCTCGTTCTTACATCGAATTCGATAACAAACCGAATATTTAAATTGTTTACGTATTTTTGCAGTCGTTCATTTTATTAAGACTGGGAATAATTTGTCGATTGCAATTTTTGTATAGCTATCTATTTTATCAATAATTTCATTTGTTTCTCGTTAGCGATGATTTAAGTTTGTACAGAATTAATGGCCTTAAAAATGCGGGAATGCATTCTTTCTGGCGCGCCGGACATGGTTGCGTTAATCCAATCAAGACGTCGATAAACAGTTGCGGCTCTGCAACGTTATAATGATCCCTCGTAGCCGGGGAGATACGTATCGTATCGACCCTCTCCTCCTCATTCCGAGCTGTTTCTACGTCGTGCAACGTGCAATCTGGCGGCCGGTGATGGCCGGTGACGGTGGCAATGGTGTGGCGCTTGCACAATAGATTCGGTTTGATACATCGCCGTACGGCACAGGAGACCGTTAATTTCGTGGCCTCTTGCCCCACAATGCCCCATACACACCCGCATCACCCATTCTGCATTTAGACTGCTATTCTCCGTCAAATGTCGTTCATATTAATAACTCATCCGGCTAAATAATAGCGTTTAACGCCGCGCGGCTTCGTCATTATCCAGATTTTCGTGCTGTCGATCGCGCGATTTGTAATTAATTTAGCCTCCGCTATCAAGCGGCTCCTCTGCCAGCGAGAAACAAATGAGCCGATTGTTCAACGATTATGAAACAGAAGTTTTAAGTTATTTATTAAGGGTTTTATACCGTGCGGCGCATATTGTAGACACTCGACAGAATTATTTATAACAAGTTTATGCACGCACGCGTATTTTTTTACGCAATTTTTATCTATGCAAAATATTTCTCGCATTTCTCAAAGAGTCTGCATTTTTAATTTCATATACTCGGTGTAATGAACAATTCTAATTTCGAAGATATATTTTTGGAGCGCTTATAAAATATTACATATGATAAACATGTTCGTACTAAGCAGAGTTTACAATGTTAGAAGCGCGCGAAGGATTAACGGACGTTATTACTATAAGTGCATCGCGTCGAAGATGCATAGACTGGTGTGTGTTGTACGCGTTACAATGACATGAAATTCAGGCACGTTCTGACGTACTTTAAGCAAATCGAAGACCTCGTTTCAGTCGTACGCGAATGTTCTCTTCCCGAGAAGAGACATACGTGCTCCGACTTTGAAGTTATTCTACGCATGCCGAGAATTTCATGCGTGAACAAGTGACCTGACATCGTTCACCGAAATGTTCCAGCAAACTACATGCCAACTACGATTATGATCGTGGTACCGCCTATTTTCTAAAGTGACATCCATACAAAGTAGACAAATGGTGGTAATCTCACAAATTAGCACGGTATAGTTTTATTATTTCATTATTTTATTTCAACTAATCACTGGCGAAGAAAAGATTCTCAGTATTGTTTATTATTGGAATTCTAACATAAAACGAAGAAATATTGTACACCCAGAAAAAAGATTTAGTTAGATTAAACAGATAAGATACGTTGAAATAATATTTCTTTGAATCTACTAAATTTTTATGTACTTCTGTTAAAATATTTGCTAGATTTGAAGAAATAGATATGAATTCTCTTGGAAATTCCAGTCTCAATCAAATAAAATTTTGATAAAGGTAAAGAAATCATTTCTTCGAAATTAAACAAAAGTCTAATAAGTTTAAAATTCAAACAAACTTTTTTCTGGGCGTGTATAATGTATTTTTTTTAATGATTGTTTTTTAATTCTTGGTCGTTTACTGACAATGAGTTGAACTCGCCATAAGTTCTTAGAGGTGCACCGTATGTCTACCAGTCAAGGCTACACTAACAAAAAAATTTTTTTAACTAAGTAAAAAGATTTACTTAATATTATTTTTTTTACTGAAGTAAATATTTATTCTATTTAAATAAAAATATCAAATTTCAAGTAAATCTATGTATTACATTCAGTAAATTCAGAATAATTTTCTTGAGTAAAGTAATATTTTTTTTTATCAAGATATATTTTTTTATCAGTGTACGTATCTCTTCTTCGCTCGCTCTCCGGGTTCTGCCTACCCGAGCCTTCGCTCGAAAATATCCTCCCCCGCATCGTTCCAATTATCATGTAGCACAGTAATAATCGCGGCTGCGCTCGCTTTCTACGAGGCGCTCACGAAATCCCGGCCTGATCGATGCTCATGTTAATCCGTTTCTGTCTCAGGAACAATGCCAACGTCGTCGTCCCGCCCACCGTATCGGTCGCGTCGAAGAAAGAGCCGCAAGAGAACATCGCCCGGATAGCGAAACGGTACCTCGACGATAACATGCAGCAGGCGTGGATCAATCCTCGTCTAATATCGATGGTGAGTGAATATAAATGCAATGATTATGCGCCGGACCCGCGCACGTGCGCCCGTCCGTACCCATTATCTTCTCTCGCGCTCGCGCGCGCACATACACGTGGGGCGGTTTAGGCGCGCGTACTTTCCGAGCCGGCCAACAAATTAGTTTGCGGCGGACTTCCACATTGGGAAAGTTTCGTGATTAATTTATTGGGCAGGAATGCGCGCACACACTACATCCGCGCCACTGCACGGAAGTCGAAACGCGGCGAGTTTCTAACTTGTCCGGACTATTTCTGCGATTTCTGGCTAGAGAGCCCGAGGGCTGTGCGCGCGATATACGGCCGCGGGATCTCGCAGGGCATCGGGCGATAGCGCCCTGGAATTTTCACTGTACGCCCCGTGAAGGAAAATGTCTTTACGATATCGCGTAACCCGTCGGTCGATCTGGAATACGGCTGCGGCAAGCTGTCGACAAATTTTTACGACGCTTCGAAAGGAGCTTACGACGGATTTCGCTTCAAACGACTTTTCGATTTTGTGACAAGTAGCGTTTGAAAGTCGACACGTTCCCACTACGATAGAATCCGCAGTGTCAACGAACGAATAAATAAAATCCTGTTTTTTAATCCTAAATGAAGAATTAATATATTAGAATAGTTTCAAGTTTAGACTTTCCGAATTTGTACAAGACGAGATCGTTTCACGGTAGACTCACGTTCGATGCGCCTTAAGCTGCGTTCGGAAACGTCACTCGAGTGTCTCAGTGTATCATTTTATTCTTTGTTTAAAATTTCGTTTCGATTATTGAAGTTGATCAATCGCGGGAATTGGAATTTCGGGCGTCGAACGCCGAGCTCCGGTTCCAAGAAATGACGTAGCGCCGTAAACACTTCGGTCAAAAACAGTCTATTTTCATTGTGCCTGTCATTCACGCGGCGACGGTCGAACGGGTCGGTTAGCGGCCCGCGCCGCTCCGTGTATCGTATTGTTCTTCCTTGATACGCGGTCGTGACAAGTACGGGAAGAAACCGCGATCGCTCTCTGTGAATAATCAGCGATCGATATCATCGCGTGATCGCTGAATTCTCGCGATTACGCTATCGATGCTCGGTTAACCGGCAACACGGATATCTCGCGCGATTCACACATGAAATTTGTGCGTCCAACAATCAAAGCGCTAGCTAACTTGAAATCACTTCTTCATTGCGATAACAACGGACGATAATTGTTTCTTCAAACGATATTCGTATTCGGATACATCTCGTATCGTCGCATTGAATCGCTTCGAGTATAATTTGCTTATTACTGCACAATCGTATAGTTATCCTTGTTTTCGCGCGAATGTGTACTTTGTGAGTGCATCGTGAACGAAGGAACCTGAGTGGAATGTGTGCTTCGTGAACGAAGGAACCTGAGATGCAACGAGCGATGGCGGAGCAATTATGAGGTAAACTATTCATTATTTGTATCAACGTGAAAGAATGAGCGGAACATACGCCGACATTCGAAGGTTCTGGCTTTCTCTTTCTAACCTTTAACCCCCTCCCCTTGGCCATAAACACCTAATTCACAAATCCGTTTCCTTCAGTTATACACTGAAGCTCAGAGTTTATTCATACTTATGATTATTTCAACTGTCAAAAACTTAAATTGTTCAGTAAAGAATGCTGCTCCGTAGTTGCAAAGATTTGGTTTCCTTTTCATTCTTACAGCCAAGATTGATCCTTGATCAATCCACGAAAGCTTTATCACGGAATTTCATACATCCTTGTTTACCATTCAGTGAGCAAAAAAGATAAAATGAGGGCACTCGAATGACGTTTCCGAATGCAGCCTTATGTTAGTTTTGGAGTATTCAATTTTTTATAAAGGATCTTGAATAACAATCCAGAGTTTGCTATTCCGTCGGGTGGAATCTTATGCTCCATTAAGGTGTAACGTGTCGATGTTGCTGACGTTATGAATATCGCGGAAATAAATCACACGCGCGCCAGGTCAAGTGCCTTATTAGGGTTGCAACCGAGCCATTGAAATGTTTCGTGAGGCTTTAAAGCCTAAGGACTGACTCGCAGTCAACTTGGCGCATCTCATTTGCACCCGACCTAGATTCCTTTCGCGAAATGTAAATACAAAAGTGGCGAACAAATGACAAAGAAACTCAATATTCAATTACCGCATTAAGATACTCTCTTTTCCAGATTACTTTCTACATTGCTTTTCGATACGTGTCTCATTAGTGAGCGAGCGAGAAAAGAGTCGTGTATGATTCAAGAGTCTTTTCATTTCCAATGCATTATATACTTCCTGTTTACTTTTTCATTGAATTACACATTATTCAATGAATACAGATTTTGTACAGTCTCTAATTAAGAAATACGCAAGCACAAAAGGAGAATGACACAAATTATTTCTTCATTCCACATAATTTACAAATAATTTATACACTGACAAAAATTTTTTTTAAACTAAGTAAATAGATTTACTTAAAATTATTTTTTAAATGAAGTAAATATTCTATTTAAATAAAACTATCAAATTTCAAGTAAATCTCAAGGACTTCGATGTTAGAGTTCGCGCGGTTGAACCCCATAGTTGTATTCTATAGGTCCATATTGGCTTAATCACAGATTTATATAGTAGTACCTCATTGTCCAAAGAGAGCTTTGATTTATGATTTAATTTGCTGAGTTTGGGTGCCAGTTGTTTTCTCGAGCAGAATTTATTTGACAGTTGCTGCACATCTCGTATAAAGTAGTTGTCTAATTTTTTGATGATTAATGATGCTGATAGGCTCGAAAAAGGAAGTCATCGCGGATAATCCATTTGTATATCTTCACGTGTATCTCTTCCATGTGTAAATTCGGGTTACACCGGCACTCCATATGCGGTGACCGGTTATGTCGTTGGCGGCTCGGCGTGGCGCGCATCAGACAGGTAGAACGAGCGGACGGGTCATTAAGCGAGCCAATAACAAACTCGTGATCCGCATAACCCTTCGTTACGTTCGCGGGTGCTATTAGCCCGTGCAAGGCAGCAATCATTGCCGGCGGGTAGGACTCGTTTTATAACGCGTCGGGGCAGGTCCCGGTCGCGTCGTGCGAACTCATTATTTCCATTTCTTTCCGCCCTTCTTTCGTCCATCCTTCTTCCGCTGCTCCGCGCGCAGCGCCTCCTCCCCGGCCCTTCTTTTTGCCTCATCACAGACGTTATGTAATGTCTCAGTTGCGTGTTTCTTCGCGTGCAGCTTGTTGCGCCGACCGTGTGCACACCTGTGCGCGATAGCACGCGACGAGCCCTTTCGTCTCTTTGGAAGAGTGGCGTGAGGTGCAGCAACGCGAATTATCGCTGCACAACGAATTGACGGTTTTGCAAGTCAGATCTCAGCAAGCGTTGAACTCATTGTCAGATTTTAAAAACCACGGGACGCCTTTCAGATTAAACAATACGTCAAACGTTTGCTATTATTGCACAACATTTCTAAAGATGATCGAGACTAAGCTCCTAAACAGATTTCTCCTATATTTTTGCGAAAATAAATACTCAATGTGACTATTAAATAAATTGATTTGTTGAATATATTTTCTCGAGGGTCCACTGTCTTTTGAAATATTTGATAATTTTCTACCGATATCAAACCGCCCGTAAAGACAAATGTGTCGCGAACGGCTGAACAGAGACGGTCCACGCGGCATTGCAGTCGACGATAATAGAAAGATCTGTTTCTATAATTAAGCACCGACGAAAGACTCTCCGACCATTTTCTCACCGCTTGCCTTTTCCCCGGTATCGATATTGGCGCGTGCATTCATCGACATCGCCAAGATTTACGATCGTTCCGCATTACTTATGCCCGGCGGGTTTATTAGCATGATTGGTCGCTCCGAGGATAGATCGTTGGGCGCGCAACCGGATCTCGGTTCTTCGGACCTTCCTTGCTCCAGAAGGAACTCGATATCTCGATCTTCTTGCCAGCGCGGTCGGTGGGTCGCCGCGAGCTCGAAAGAAGTCGTTTCTTCGTCGCTACGACGTACGTAGTTACCGGCGCTTCGTCAGGAGCCAACGACACTATTTGTAATTTGTTACGTGGGTCGCCTCGTTACGACCGGCTTTAAATCCTTACGATCTTCCCGTCGCTGCCCACGGCAATGGGGAGTCCACCCTCTCGCTAAGCACCAAGCCTTCGAGCGTAATCCAAACCTCGGCCTTAATGAATTTTCTGATTTAATAAGAGAGCGCGCGCGTGGATGTGCGACACCGAATACCCGACTGCGGCCCGGCAACAGGAGGAAAAATCGTTCGCCAAATCTTAAATTATTCGAGACACACTCGCTACCGTGCTTCACGCGTAATCACCTCGATAATGGCCCCGTTAAGTATTTACATTGAAATCTTTAACGCGCAGCAAACTCGTATTTACTAAATCATAGCGAAATGCGTTGCCAACCTAGTTTTAATGTACGGATTTGCTGTTAGTAATATAAGTATTTATGCAAAACTATAACATATTTTCAAATTAAAACTGTATTATATTAATAGTTAAAAGCAACAATTATCGAAAAATGTCACTTTTATTAAACACACCTTAACCGTCTCAACTTTCCGCATTGAGCTTAATCAATCTAGTATAATATTTCAACATTTTATTGTTTCTTTAATGTTTTAAATGTTCAGTAAAACTTCATTTTAAAACGAGTAAATAAAACCGTCATCCATAAACAGGTAATGGGCTCTTTCGGGAAATTTATGCGCCATCCAGATATGGAAGATGTGACAGTCAAAGTGTCAATGATCATTTAGTTTTAAATATAAATGCGTAACAAAATTCTCGACTATGCGTACAAATACGCGATTATCCATGAGATGCAAGAGTTAATTAAGGAACGACTTGTGCGTGCGACTATTTCCCCGACTCGTCAGCGTTTAATAACCCCGAAAATTCTGACAATCAGAACGGTCTTGCGTATTCGCGTACAGACGTATAGTATCTACGTATTATAATATATGTACAATGGCGGCTT